TTACAATGAGCACGCCCACAAGTTCTGTATTCAGTAGAATCAACATTTTCACAGTGGTATAACATGCAAAAACTCGGACACATATTAATTTTCTAATATTTTACACCAATGAGTTTTATCATGAATTTTATAACATAAAAGTTATTTTTCAACTTAATTCTTTTAGGTAAAATACTTATTGCTCATCTAACAATTCCAATGTAACTAGTCTCACTCGGCCCATGATTTAACTTGATGGTGAATACATGTACAACGACTGATAATTTACTATGATTTATGCATTCATTTCATATGGTTTATCATAATCTTTTAAAAGTTTCAAAAACCTAGTTACATACGTATTAAGTTCTTCATCAACAATTAAACATTTACCAGCATAACCTTGATTTATTTTTATTGCATCTATAATCATATTTTTATAATGATTATGATTATTATCTATAACTCTTTGTATGTTACCAAAATTAAAAGTTGATCTAACTATTATTTTTATCATTATCTTAGTAAAAACATAAAATTCTCTTTATACAAATCAATATAAATATTTTTTTAATAATCTTTTTTATTTATATTTAATAAATTTTTGGTAGTGTGTCATTATCAACGGGTTATCCGATTGATGGTAAGAACCCGAAGGTCTTGCATAATTTTCACTGGTTGGAAATGCAAGTTACATTTATCGTTGTCCACAACATTGAGTGTACTGTTTTATACTTGTCTCAATACACAAGCTAGAGACTACATAATGAGATATTATTAGTTGTCTTTGTCATGAAGCTGGGGAGGGAGGGAGGGAGGGAGTATCTTGTTTGGTACCAATATACCATTGCCTGTTGCTGTTGATTAAAATTGAAGATAGTTTTGGCTTAACGTTGCACTTAATCATAACAGAGTTGACAAGTTCCTTTGACTAGCAAATCCCGGCCTCCAAGCTACTACCCCACCGGGCAGTTAAGCTTTAGCTTTCCTTTCCGGGGACCACACCTTCAAAAGGCCCGGTACTCGTATTTGACAGTCCTCAATGAGGTACTCAAGGAATCTCTTTTTTCCCCGTAAAGGTACTGTATAAAAATATTATTATGGTTATTTTTTAAAATATATTTTATTTAAAAAATATTAAAATAATATTTTTTATTTTTTAAAATTAATTTTTGATAACATATATCAAAATAATCTAAAAATATATAAAAATATTAATTTAAAGTAAAAAATTAAAAAAAAAATCAACTTTTTTCAAAAAAACTTTTAAAATATTAGAATAAACAACGTCAAAATAATACTTAAAATCATAATAATTATTGTTTTTCAAATATTTTTTATTAAAAAATATATTAAAATAATATATTTTTATTTTTTAAAATTTATTTTCAACATCAACATATTAAAATAACTTAAAATTTTTAAAAAACTAGAAACAAAATCATCATGGATTGTTAACAACAATGACAAATTATCTTAAAGAGAGCACCATTTTGTTAATCATGCGTTAAAGACCCAATTAAGTAATCCAATTCTTAGAAGAACTAATTAATTATGAAAACGAAAAACTTCAATTCTTCTTGTCTTGTTTCCTTAACATATCACTGTCTGAAATGGAGAGGTTGATCAATCAATATCACAAGATAAAGCCTCCATCTAGAGGGAAAAGACGAGGTCCATTTTACACCCACTCGTGCCCTTGACTCGCGTGGCCCTGTAGTGCAATTTATTGAGAAATCAGCCCAGCTTGCCGTCGTCGTTTTCTACAACGAGTTCCCAAATCTTTTCTTATAAATTTAATTATTTTTAATATGTAACTCTTATTTTAATCTGTCCTTCTAGTAGATATTACCGTAGAAACATGAAACAAATACATTCACTTAAAAACTCAAGCCCATGCAATTTATTAAAAAAACAATATAAATTATAATGTTTGCCATTCATTCCACTCTTGTTCTTCCGAATTTATAATTTTTTTCGGGTGAATAATCATTAGGCCAATCATTTTTATATTAAAATTAAGAGTGTATTTTTTTTAAAGTGTTTTTTATAAAAATATATTTTTTATTTTAAATTTATTTTTTAATGTGCTTAAATTTTTTTATGTGCTAATATTAAAAAAAAAAATTTAAAAATAAAATAATTATTTTAATATATTTCTAAAAAACTACACTTTAAAAAATAATTATTATTATACTTTTAAATACAGAGTCTTGTCAACATAGTTGAATCCCATTCACAATTTTTCCTTGTCTTTTTGTTTTATCTCTTCTTTGTTAATTATCTGTGGAATAATATAAATTTATTTCATATAACTAGCCGTTATAAAAGGTATGTGAGATATACCATGAACTTCGAGGGCTTAGCCCACCTCACATTGTTTTAGTCAGCCATCTTACGATTAATTTCAAAATTAATGACAATTTCATACTAGTTTATCGCTATAATACCAATTCCAAACTTAGCAAATAAGCAGTGCGTTGAAACAGGGATTGGACCTTCGTGAGGAAAATCCTTTTAATTTAGGGTTAAATCTACAAAAAAAAAAATGGAAAGAGAATTGTTATTTGCATTTTTAGGGATTAATTAAAATTTCTTAAAAAAAAAAGGGATAAAATATGTTCTTTTAACATGGAGAAGGGAGTAAGATTCTAGCCCTCGCTTTACAATAGTTGTTAAACTTAATCCAACACTCTAGCCCTCGCTTTATAATAATTGTTAAACTTAATCCAACATGAAACATTAACTTGGAAGTTGTGATCCAAAACTTTATTCAGCGCAGCTTTAAACTAAATAAAATAAAAAATTAATCCAATAAAACTAGATTGACTAAACAAATTTAATGATGAGTCATAATTATTTGAATCAATAATTTTATGCTTTTAGGAAGCCCCAACTTGTAATTGAATGACAATCCAATCAAATATAGATCTAATTAAATATCAGATCCAGTAATTTCAAGTTCAACCATAAATTAAGCTTGAGAAATTATAGGTATAACAAAATACTAGGTCCAATATATTTGGGCTCAATTATATATCAAGCTTAAGGAACCATGAATTTGGTAAAATGTTAAACTCAATATATCAGATTTATCCACAAGTTAAACCTAAGAAACTATAAATTTGACAAATTACTAAATCTAATACACTTGGAATTAGTCATGAGCTAAGCCCAATAAACTATAAGTTTAAAAAATTGCCAAATCTATTATGCTCAGGCCTGGCCATGAGTTAAATCTAAGAAATAATAGATCTAACAAGTTGTAATGCTCTTTCACTCGATTTTAACTACACGCTCAATTCATTTGGTCGTAGAGACATACATAGGATCTTAGGGGTTATCCCAAGGCTATTGATATAACCTATTCATATTAAAAACAATTATTTTCTTAAATCTAAAGATGGGTAAAAGGTCTATCAAAATGTTTATTTTTTTTCCAGTTTCATTGATGACATGCAAGAAATATTTCTTATTTCATTGATAATATGTAAAATATTGTTACCCTTTATCAATGCCATTAAAAGTTAATAATTTTTCAGTCAATTTACCCATTGAAGAGGATAAGATTCAGGGGTTATAAATACCCTCGACACCATCCTAGTAAAGAATTCATTTTGTTTACTCTTCAGATTTATATATCTTACAACATTAATTCACAAAAACACAAATAAATACTTTATTCTTTGAATTTAAAACTTTTCTTTTATCGATTACTATTCTCATTTAAAGTTATTAATTTTATCTTTTAAGGAGTTTTTAAATCCTATCAACATGGATTATTTTCCATGTGTCATAATTTATACTATCAATTTCATACTTCATCTATTATGAAGATAAAAATATTTACATGAATATTTGTTTAATTTTTATTCAAATATCAAATAATATTATTTAGATTTTAAAACATCATCACCGCGTATTAAAATAACATCAAATAATTTTTCTTCGAAAAACAAAGACTCTGTTCAATACAGTGTTCGACAACTATGACACCCCTCCTTGAATTCGTCTCCAAGTCTATCAACCTCTCACCTGTTTTGTGTTACGGTTCACATCTCATTTATGATTTTTTATTTTCATTTCTTGTTAAGGGAAAAACTCAATATTCTTCTAGAATAGTGGAGTGATTTACCGTTAACAAGCTTAGCCCCAACGTATTTGCCTCTAGGTATACACATGCATGACAAACGTTATTCCATGTGGTCAACTTATTTTTACATCTATCTTTTTTTATATAAAAAAAATAAATAATTACAACATTCTACTATATTTGAAATTACCATTTTATATTTTTTCTTTTATCATAGATGGTTTAAATTATACTTAAAAAAATATTTTATTTTTTATTTTTTCAAAGAAGAGTAACACTAAATTATATACTTATTGTTAATTAAACGGGCAAGTTGCAATTTTTTTCATGGTGGTAATCAAAATGATTAGTGTCCAGGCCTACAGCCAAGACCATATAAAAGGAGTTATAGGGTATCCAAGAGATTGTTGAAACTGAATTGGGCCTGATGGGCCATAGATCAGAGAATCAATAGGCCCTTGAGGCATTGACCCACTCTATATTATTTTAGATCACCGTCTAATTTATTCAAAAAGATTTCATTGTCAAAGTACCTCAACGCCCTCTGCATTCAAGACAGAAAAGCGCCAGTCACGCAGATTTAATGGATACATGGATGGCTTAAATTGTCCTTCACAGCATTTAATCTCTTAAATGACGTGGGCCCGCTTTCTCAAAATGGTCAAGATTAATATATTAAATTAATCATCAAATCCATGTTTTTAAAACTTAAAACAGAACATCTAAGCAGAGTATCCAAGAGATCGTAATTATCGCTCGAGGACACCGCTAAAACCAAAGAGACAAGACACTCACATTCCATCACCCCAATACTGAAACTTGCCACGTACCAGTCTTTTCATGAAACTCGAGTTGCTTTAACATCTCCCACTTGAAAATTTTGGCGGGCAATCAAAAATAAAATTCAAATAAAGAACCAAACAAACCCTAGCGGCCCCAATTGTCTTCCCTCTTTCTCTACTCTCTCTCTCTCTCTCTCAAATTCTCTCATTTCTGCTTTGGTCTCTCTATTTCCATGGAATGCGACCTCTTCTGAGTTTCAGGTTATTAAGCATTTCTTTCTTCTTCTTCGTCTTTTTCTCTCTCTCTTGATTTATTGATTTTTTATTTTCCTTTTAGATTTATATTTGATCATTTTCGGCTTTTATGTTTTGTTTATTACGGACTGCACTAAATTAGGGTTTTTAGTTAATATTTCTGTTTAAGTTTTTTCTTTATTCTGCCATGATTAATGTGATTTTTAGCAATTTATATATGGTTTTAATGTTCATTTCTTGGGCTTTTGTCCGTTTTGAATATGTATTTCTGGTCAGTCAGGGTTTTTAACGAGGTTTCTGGTGCTTTATTGACAGGTTTGATTAATTAATAGGGCATAGTTGAGAGAATCTTTAATCTATGTGAGTTCAGTTTCTATGTTCATTTTGTAATTGTTTCTTTTGGTATTTAGTCTCATCTTGCGGGCTTCCTAAAGTGATTAATTCAAATTGTCTTTTCACACATTGATCAATGATGGATTTCTAATTTATTTTTATTTCATTATTGGATGTTAACATTAAAAGGGAATAAATTGGAGCAATTGGAAACAAATTTGAGAAGGGGAAAGAGGGTTTATTATGGGTAAAGTGTCTCCGAAGGATGGAAATTTGAAGACCCCAAAGCAAAAAAGGCGGTTACGGAGCTCAAGCAGTAGGTATTTGAAGCCAGGTGCGCTTGCTCAGCTTCAGTATAGCAAGGCGTCAGCAGCGAAGTCATGTACCGATCTTGGAAAAAAGAGGGTTGCTGTGTTTGGGAATAAGAAGGTGGGGGATGATAATGAGCTGGTGGTTGAAGAAAGGGCTATGGATAAAAGCCCTTTGTTATTATCACCTGTGGGTTTGTGTAAACAGCATCATCCAACTATTGATAAAAGCCCCTTGATGCTATCACCCGTGGATTTGCTGAAACAAAATCATTTAGCGAGGACACCAAAGACCCCTCGGATTGAAGATTGTGATACCGAGTCTAGACTTGAGTCTCTTCCCATGGAGTTGCTGGTAATACTCATTCCCGAGCATGTTATATGAAGGAATTTCTATCTGTTTAGCTTTTGTGGACTTGTTAATCCTTGGATATGCTTCTGTAATTACACTATGAAAATCAAGATCTAGAGTGGTACAGATATGAATATGTTACCCTGCATGTTTCCCTTTAGAAAGTTAAATAAAATAAAATTAAAGTAGGATGGAAATCCTGGAAATATTAAGGAACATGAAGGAATTTCAATATTTGATTCAGAGAGCTGGATGTACCATGGAGGCATGATCTTATAGATTCCCAAAAAAGATAAGACCTTATCAAATCTCACATCACATTTCTTTATTTGCGAGGTTTCTTTTTATAGATGCTAATACATTTGTAAGTTGAAAGCATCTGCATGTATATGTGAAGCACCATCTTGGCATCTTATAAAGTTGTTTGGAGATGCTTTGGAGAGAATAATTTCTATTTTGTTACGTGCTTCGTTATTATTTTCTCACTGGAACTGTAATGGATAGGCAAGTTTATGGAAGTTCTATTTTCTTGATTTATAAAAAGAAAAATTTAACTCTTGATGCTCAAATGACCAGCCAATAGGATGGTAGGCATCTTAAATTGCAGTGCTGTAGATTGAAATTCAATGAGGGTGAAAGTGGATATACTATCAATTTTCCCAAAGCGTTGTAAATGTCAGCCACCTGTCATTTATCATGGTTCGTCTTTTATCTGTTTCTTGTATATGTGTAACTGAATTGTTGCTCAGTTCAAGAGAGCTTTTCTGTTTCTCTGTGTCTCTTTGATACCTTGGCCTATCCACTAACGACTTCTGCCAAAACCCAAAGGCTGAGATGTGCTTAAATTATGTTGATGACATGAAGGATGTTCTTTGCATAGGAATTGTGAAATCCTTCTTAAATCAAGAAAGAATGGATCACTTTATTTTGTTTGATACCTGCTACTGAACACACAGCTTTGCCCTTAATTCTTCTCAAATGTTTTTTTACGCCTCATTATTTGTGTATTGATTCCTGTTTGTTTGTTTCTTTTGAGGTTAAAATACTCTGTCACCTGCACCATGACCAACTGAGGGCTGTTTTCCATGTTTCTCAGAGAGTTAGAAAAGCTGTAAGTCTCTCTTTCTCTCTCTGTTTAATCCACTGATGTTAGAGTTGAATTGAAGAACGAACCCGCTAATGCTTGTTGAGAGCAGGTTTTGCTTGCAAGGCAATTTCATTTCAATTACACAACACCAGATCGCTCTCGACAGGAGATGTTACTGACAATGACCCCACGGCCTACTGAACACTGGCCTTTTATGAGGTAGGCTTCCAAAAGCACAAGGTTTTTTTTTTCCTCTTATAATTATTTTTGAAGTTACTAACTCATCAAGTTTTGTACTTGCGATGTTTGAATGACTATTGCAGCAAGGGGAGTGGTAAGGGCATTTTCATGTCAACTCCACACACCCCAAAAGCTCCAAGGCATGGTCCCCGGCCACCTTCTCGCATCAAAATAACTGAGATGAAGAGTATTGCTGCGGTTCTTTTCCAAGATTCTACATTGTCTTCGAGATGCATGGTGCCGTCCACCCTGCCAAAGCCCCTTTGCAAATCTGTGGCTTCCAACAGGGTTCTATTCTATGAGGAGGAGTTATGCCAGGCTGTTGCTCAGAATAAACTTCGTTGATCTCATTGTCGTTTCTTTCCCATTGCCTTGTGTTCCATTTGTATAGTTTGTTTCCATCCTATAGCTAGGTAGTTATAGTTTGAAAGAGGGGTATGCAATTTTGTAGGTTTCTGGGGCAAATTAGGTGACAGGTAATATGGGACTTCAGATTTGCACTAGTCCACAGATTTAGGTTGTGGTTGTTGGAATAATATATTTGAAACTGGATACTTGTATATATTCCTATATATGTTTGCAATGATATTTGGATTTCTTCTATAAAAATATTCAAATAATTTAAAAGTAGAGTTGAAAATAAATTGGAATGAATATGGGTAATATCTAGGTGGTGAATATTCAAGCTAAAAACTTCAGTAATATCTAAAGAGAGTATGATTCTCTCATAATAGATATGTTATGAAATGCCATAATAATGGGGTCTTTGTAAGAAAAAAAATCATATTCAATTGGAAATGGTGTGATACATAATGAACTATGCAGATTTTTCATAAAGCTATACCTTTCTAATAAAAGTTACTGATAAGATTCCATATAATATTTTAAAAGATAGAAAATGAAATTAATCATACTGAAAATAATGAGATGTTCATGCTTAATAAGCCCACCAACCACGGAGAGTTAATATATAATATTGACTCAAACAAACAGCTTTAGACCATCTGATCTAAAACGAATTTCATGTATTTCAATCAGATATGAACTTTGATTAAACGGATATTTAAAAGAAATAAAGAATTAAAGGATAAAACTGATCAGAGAAAAAGTTCATCTTTATGAAGAAGTACAGATAAACTGATAATATAGGTTGTCGTCGAGGAATTAAAGATTGAAAGTGATAAACTGATAATGAAAGTTCATCTTTGATTAAACGAATATTTAAAAGAAATAAAGAATTAAAGGATAAAACTTATCAGAGAAAAAGTTCATCTTTATGAACAAGTACAGATAAACTGATAATATAGGTTGTCGTCGAGGAATTAAAGATTGAAAGTGATAAACTGATAATGAAAGTAGTTGCAGACTCTTGAACCGGCAACAGGTGTTTATATAGATTCTTTGAGCATGATGTACATACACTGCACTCGTTAGATTTATAGCAACCTAATGTATTGTAAAATAATAACATCACTGTATAAGATGGAAGGAAAGGGTCACCCAAATTAACTTCAGCTTGCTTTCATGGCCGACAACAATTTCTTGAAAGATCAGGGACTCCTTGCAACTGCAAGCACGCTTATGCCCCTCTACCGGTTAGTTCTCAAACATTATCACTGCAGTTATTTTAGCTAAAACGTAACCATAAAATTCACAGGCTCATTAGAATACATGTGCGCTAACCGATTCAACAAAATTCAGTATCCTTCACAATTGGAAGACATGCTGGTCTTGAAGGCAATAAACACTAGCGAATCCTGCTGCTGGCACAACATGAACTGCCCAAAAGATCTCATCTGGAATTCATGAACTGCCAGATAATCACGCGTTTCTTAAATACTTCAAAAAGATGAGCGCTCGGGGACAGCTGACAAAGTAATTACTTGCCACGTTCCACCTGCACTGTCAAATCCTTGATTCCGACATCCTGAAAAGTGTTCAAAACCTGTGCCTTCACAGATGCTGCGTCAAGTTTGTCTGAGACATGAAGATGCAGAGTACCAACAATATCTGTGTTAGTAAAGCTCCAAAAGTGCAAGTTCTGAATGCCACGTAACCCCTTTATCTTCATGGTATCATTTATGGCTTCTTTCAGATCCTGCTCATGAGTCCTCGGAATTCTTTGAAGCAAAATCTCAGCAGAGTTTCTAAGCAACGGAATGACTGAAGATACGATTAAAACGGAAATGAATATTGAGCAGGCAGGATCAGCAACAAGCCATCCTTTGTACTTAATTAGGAGAGTAGACAAAACAACACCAACACTTCCCATCGTATCTGCCAGAACATGCAAAAAGATTCCCTCCATGTTGTGGTCAATGTGGTGATGGTGGTGTTTTTTCGGTTCCTCTTGTCTAGATACTGATGTCCTTTGTTGGGAACCGATCTTTCCCAAAGAAGAATCACTTTTAGAATCCAAATATTGAAGTTCATGAGCATGGGCATGATGATGATGGTCATGGCATCTGTGATCAGGGGAATGATCACAGTGCTCATGTTGATGGCGAGCATGGGAGGAGTGGTCATGGTCATGGTCATGGTCATGAGCATTATCGTGGGGATCGTGGCTGTTGGAGCTCCCAATTTTACAGCTGTCTATAATGCCCTGGTGATCGCAAAGATGGTGTTCATGATCTTCATCATGGCTAGCCAAAGACTTCTCATGGCATTCATGGGAAACAGAAGCATGTTCATCATGCTTTTCGTGGTCATGTGAATTGTGGTGACAATGAGAGTCAGAATGAGACTGAGAGTGGGAGCATGCTCCAGAGCCACCATGAGCATGATGATGCTCTTCATGAAAGAAAACCAAACCAACCAAATTCACAACAAGTCCACCAATCGAAACAATTAACAGACTATTAGTTGATATCTCCTGAGGGTCCAGAATCCTCTCAAATGACTCCAATACAATTAGTGCTCCAACAAGAACTAGAAGAACAGCATTGACATATCCTGACAGAACCTCAAACCTTCCCCGACCATAATTAAACTGATTATTTGCAGGCAAGCGGGAGATATAAGAAGCGTATAAGCCAATTGCCAAAGCAGCACAATCAAACAACATATGACAGGCATCCGATATCAATCCAAGACTATTACTCATGAACCCAGCAACAAATTCGACAACCATATAACAAGTATTAATCAAAAGGAAAAGTGCAATCTTCCGGGACTTTCTCTCGCTCAGAATGTGGCGGATAGGCTTCATAATAAAACCACTAAATACCTTCGGAGGTGTATCCATTCCTAATTCAGGATAATGTGAATGAATAGAGTCCAAATTCTTAACACCAAAATACAGCAAGAAACCACATATCAAAAGCCCCCAAAGAGAAAGCTCAGGAAAATAGAACAGCTCCAAAACAACCGTGCAAACAAACGTAACAAAAAACTCTCTCCTGAAATCTTTGGAACCCACTAACTTCCCATCATCATTGCAATTCTCACTCAAAAGAACCCCAAAAACAACAGTATTCGCCAGAGGCCAACCTAAACTCGCAATAGAAACACCTTTTCCATCGCCATTACCACTTTCAAACACTATAAAGCTTACAGCAGCAGGAATAAACAGTATAATTGTGGTATAAAACAAAGAAATCAGTCGAACCCGTTTTTGGTCTAATGCTCTAATCGTCCCCCAATTCATAGAAACACGCTCATAAAACCCCAAGAAACCAGACACAAAAGGCAACACCATTGGCCAAATCCTAAAGCAATTCTCTCTAGGAAAAACCGAAATCCCATATTTATCAATGAAACCAATGGAAAACGGGAAACAATCAATCCGATCCCAACTTATTGAAAGCAAAAACAAGCCGACAAAAAGGGAAATAAACCCAGGTAATTTATGGGTGCTTACACCAAAATTATCATTCTTTCTCCTCCGATCAGTAACAAAACGAGCGGCCGCAACACTACCGGATAATTCAGCAAGAATCATGGCAGCAGTCCCACAATATCGAAGCGCTTGGAATCTGATGAGGAAAACAACAGTAAGGAGGAGAGATTTGGAAAACAAGAGCCTGTGTTGTGATTGGGAGATTGAGGAGAGAGAAAAGATGGGTTGGTTGGGGTTTGTTCTGAAGTGTAAAGGGGTTTTAGAGGAGGAGGAAGGGGAGAAGAAAAAAGAGAAAGAGAGGGATAAAAGAAAGGAGAGGAGACAGACAAGGAAAGAGAAAGGGAAGATATTGAAGGAGGAAGGAGAGGATTGAAGGAAAGGGAGGAGAGAGTAGAGGGAGCGGAGAGAGAAGAGGAGGAAGAGGAAGTAAAAGGAGAAATTTGAAGAGGATTTGGAAGGAAGGGAGGAGAGTCGGTGTTTTGATGGTGTTGGGGTCGGGGTCGGGGTCGTCGAGGTGTATGGGTAGAGAGGGTAGGGTCTGGATTTGGTGGGGGTGGCTGAGGAGATGGAGTTGAAGGTAGTGGTGGCGGCTCGCGAAGGGACGGATAGGCGGTTAGGACGGTGCTGGTGGTGGTGGTGGTGGTGGTCGGCCATGGCGGCGACTATGGGTCTCTTGAAGTGGTGGTGTTGACTGTTTTTCTTGAAAAACAGCTACTTTGGGAGGAGGAGGAAACTGCGTGTGTAATTTACATCTTATTTCAAGACAAATAATCAAAATATAGAATTCTATATAAGTTGCAATTATAATAAAAATAAGTCTTTGGAAGAAGTACCGTCATCAGCTAAATATTATTTTTTAAAGGGTTTAAAGGTTAAAACAAAATTATTAGTTAATTTTTTTTAAAATAATCATAAAATAAAAAAATCAATTTTAAATTAAAAAATTAAATAAAATTAAATCACAACACCAAATATCACCCAAAGCTCTCAATCTCTTACAATAATTGTAATTAAAGTATAGATATTAAATCCAGTTCTGTATTAGCATGGTCTATGAATTAGATCTTTAGTCATACAGATTGAGTTGAGTTAATTTAAAAAAGTAATTTTTTTTAATATTTTATATAAATATATACAGATTGAGTTGAGTTAATATATGCTTCCCTGTAGATATGCTGAAGATGAACCTCCACCCAATCAACCTAGATTGCTTCATTGGTTTCTAGCTCCTGGTTCCATCCAGCAGCCTCGTTTTCCTCAATTCCTCGAACCAGTTTTCTCATCGCTCTTATTGGGCTAGCTTCGTCAGATGCAGCCACGCCAAAAATCCTATTGTTTCTGGACTTCTACATCAACCAAAGAGCCACTCCAGAGACTACTACTGCCCAATGCCATCCCTCACTGGTAACTTCAGTACCCTTCAAATTATGAAATAACCTCGAAATCAGACCATCAACAAAGATGGCTTGCTTGTCGCGCATACAGCCTAGCTTTTACCAAGTCGTATGGGCTGGTCTACAATCCTCTCAACACATGCAAGGCTGATTCAACAATAGATGGACACGCATGGCAATGAGGATTGATAGTCATATACATGTCGTCCCAGTACTCTATGTCCATTCGTAAGCAATCTATTCTGAACGAGTAAACAAATGAATATTCTTATCCTCTCAAGGCCTTTCCAATCCCAAACTAACCTCCATAATGGTCCCAATTGGTGATACTGATTCACTATGCAATTTTGAACCAGCTTGTATGCTGATTCAACTGTGAATACCATGAATACGCCACTGCGAGAATATTGCCAGAACACTTTATCATCATCAATCTCCATGTTTGGTGGTGGATAACTAACCAACAGTACCATCATTAATTGCAGAGGTAAAAGATGCGCAAAAATATCCCATCTCCATTGTTGAATGGGATCAGTAACCATGTCTGCCACTTTTAATTTGTGAATCTCCTCAGGAATGGGCTGAACTGCATGCATGGTCAGCTAAAGGACCATATCCTTCAAGCCACACATCTGACCAGAACCTCACCTCTCTACCATTCCTGACTGCCCAGGAAACACCCCGAGTAACATAAGGCCACACCTTACAAATTGCTTTCTATAAAGGAGAGTCTGTTCTTTTGGCCTGCACTTGGGAAATATCTCCACCTGATCTAACATACTTCTTAAAATCGAATTCCATAAAATTTTCCAGGTCATTGAGCACCCACATCCAAGTTTCATTATAAAAGTTCTATTCATGGTATGCATATTTCGCAATCCCAAGCATCCTTTGGCTTTCGGCTGACAAAGAAAGGTATTAATTAGTAATTTTATGTTTTTTCTACAGTATAATTACCAAATAACTCTTTATAAAATTACTTTGGTTGGGGACTTTTCAAGTTTTTTTTTTAATTCAATTACTTAAATGTTACTATCAAATAAACTCTCTCATGCAAGGTTATTTTAAGTTTTTTATTATGATTTTTTAAAATAAAAATTTATATAGAATTATAAATGATTTGATATTTTTATATATAAAAATTAATTTTAAATTTAAAAAATTATTGACACATGCTACCCATGCATTTTTTATGGCACATTCGACTCCCACACAACATCGGATGTCACCATCACAATGGTTTGGTGAGACACGTGTTTTTTAATAACGCACAGAGAAGTGTCAATAAGGAGTTTTTTTTCTCTCTTTTTTCTTTCCTCTCTTTATCCAGAAAAACATATTGAAAAACAAAAGTCTAGCTATTTTTGAAAAATTTAAATTAGATCCTTATTTTTTTATTGCAAACTTCTATAAGTTATTGGGTTAATTTGTTTTTTTAATTTCATCAATTAATACTTTATTTTTATATCAAATTTGATATTTATTTTTTTAATTGCAATGCATTTTGTTTTGGATCATTTATTAAGTTATTTATTTTTTCTATTGCATCCCTTTATACTTTGTTATTATATTAGATTTATTTCTCATTTTTTTAAGTATGATGTTTTTTACCTTAAATCTTTTATTGAATTAATTTTTCTTTGGACTTCATCTCTTGAAATTTTATTTTTATATCAAATATAATTTTTATTTTTTATTGTTATTTTTAGTTCTTCTTATCCTTTTCCTAATTGCAATTGTTTTTCAATTTTTTCTATTATGATTTGTTTTTTTTTTGTGTTAAATTTGATTGTTTTTTTTAAATCTATATTTTTTAAAAAAATTTCATGTTTATCCCTAATTATTTTTTTTGATTTATAATTTTATATTGTTATTTTTTTAATTTATGTTTTATGTTGTGATTTAGCCATATAATCCGTGTTATAAATTTTTAATGTTGGACCGGGTTTGTTTTAGTTATTTTTAAAAATTTCATTAATTATTATTACACTCGTTGAAAATTGTTTTTTTTTTATATTTTGAATTCTTTTATAAATTTTATTTTTTAAAATTTTCCCCTTCAATACAATATTTTTTTTATATTTAAAGTAACATGATACTACTCGCCGGGTTTTAACATCGTTTGTTTTTTAATACTTTTTTCTTAATTTTGATAATTGAAAATTTAATTCAGATCATTATTGTTTTAGTTTTTTTTTTTTGGTGTACTTTAACATTATTGTTTTAATTATAAAGAAATTAACCCGGTTCACTTCGTAGCGTGTGCATCAATCTGGCATTTTACATATTCATATTCAGTTTGGGATTCATTTAATGGTCCCACGTAATCATTTCATTCACGTGCCTGTTTTTACTTGAATCCCTTGTGTCATCCACACCTATACAAACTTACACGTGTTTATCCACAGCAGAAACACGTAAGAAATAATTTCAGCAGCGTAGGCAGGGCAGCTATTAAAGTAAAAACAGGAAGAAAGAAAGACCAGGCACATTCCCCATTGTTCTAGCAGCGTCTATGTTTTTGCTTTAAGACACGTTGCAAGTTTGAGCCATTTTACCATTTGCACATGGGGTGTCTGGATCGCGCCTCCGAACTCTGTCACTGGCCCCATGATAGCACGGGACTCAAAAAACGCGCGCCATTAGAGGTATTTACTACTCAGATCTTTATGATACGAAATGATGAAAGACCCCCTTCATATTTATCATGTCTTTCTTCTGTAACCAGTCTTCTTCCGATTTTATTATTTGGGAAAGGCTAGAATGTCTGTTTTACAATGTCTAATGTAAGGTTTTCTTGTCCTGGTAGGGCTTTCATGTAGAATTATTTTGATTAATTACTGTCTTGTGCTGGTACAGACAGTGGAGATTAAAGTGAAAATGGACTGTGAAGGGTGTGAGACAAAGGTGAGAAACTCAGTGACAGGGATGAAAGGAGTGATCCAAGTAGAAGTGGACCGCAAACTACAGAAACTGACGGTGACCGGATACGTGGACCCAGACGAGGTCTTGCACCGTGTGAGGTATAGAACGGGAAAGAAAGCTGAGTTCTGGCCGTATGTGCCGGCTGAGGTAGTCCCTCACCCATACTCTCCAGGTGTGTATGATAAGAGAGCCCCACCTGGGTACGTCCGAAATCCGCTTCAGCTCGAGGACCCACAGGCCTCTTCTATTGCAAGTGCCAGTTCTTTCGAGGTGAAGACCACTACAGCTTTCAGTGATGATAATCCAAATGCTTGTGTGATAATGTGATTAATTGCATGTTGTGATTAGTCAATCTGGGCTGTGATCGATGAGTGTTGTGTGGTGTGTGTGAAATAGGTGTAAAATTTTCATGGAAGAGTTTACGTTACCGTTAACCCTACCAAAATTTCTTTTTGAAAAGTTACCTTCCCTTCTTATTTTTCAAGGTTGCCCATCGTGGATTGTATTTAATTGATAAAATTTGAGGATAAATTTGTATCATTGATGATTTTGGCATTTTTTTTATAAAATAATAATAAAAAATTCTTTTCAAATATTTTTACCTTGAAAATACATTAAAATAATATTTATTTTACTTTTAAAAAATTTATTTTTAATATTAATACATTAAAATAATTCAATAAAAAAATAATAATTTGATACTAAAAGAATCAAGCAATTTTAATATTTTAGAATCTTTTTTCCTTACTTTCTCTTTTAGTAAAGAGGAGGAAAAAAAAAAGAAAACAGAAACATTGAATTGACAAGAGATTTGGTTATGACTAAATTTGAAAAACATTGAGATTAAATATGTGATTTTAATAACTACAGGGATTAAGTTATAATTAACTCTTTAACCAAAAAAATAATTAAAATCATTAATGCAACACACTGCATCTACAACTCTTTTATCTCCTTCGTATTTGTTATCAAACAAAATATTTTCATTAGGAAGAAAGATGGGACTTAAAAAATAAAATTGCTGTTAACAACACTATTTCACATATTTTGACCTCCAAATCCACATTCACAAGCTATACAAACCCATTTATTCTAGTTTTGCCACAAGTAATTATGCTGCCAATAGCAAATTAGGACAGCAGGACTGCACATGAAGGCTTGCACTACAATGGCCAGGCCGGGTCCAATGCGGAGCTACCAAAATCAGAGGATTGACATGAAACATAAAAAGCCAAGTTGATACTTACAAATTCCCCCATCCTTAGCTCTCTCTTGGGTTATTAGCCTTTTTGCGTCCCTTGGGACCCTTCCCCGAAGACGATTCCACTGATATTGGTAATACAGTTCCATCCTTCAATTCATTTGGTATAGATAGCTGCTGCTCCACTATCTTCCCTGCTTCGAGGGACATCATCAAGTCCCTAAGCTGCACGTGCATGGAAATATAGAAATTTTAATCGAGATTGTAGATCCGTCTGCCTTGTCCATGGTAAGAACGGGATACGAGGGATGTCAAAAATAAAAATAATCACCTGTTCTTCCAAGTCCTGAATTTTATCGTCCTTTATTTTCAAAGCCATTTTCTCCCTGAAAAGAAATTGAAGGTGATACCAACAAATTATAGTTCGATAGGAATATAGGAATTCAAGCTGTTTCAATATTTACATTGCCCGCAGAAAAAAAAATGTAGGAAATGGAACGAGTACGGACTGAGGTAACCTACAGCAAGGTCATAACTGTTGATAGTTTACAGCTTTCCTTACCAATCCACCTAGCATTTCAGCACTGCCATCGTTTCAAATATGGCCATCATAGAAAAATGTAAAATAGGAGCTATTATTCTATAGAGAATTTTTAAAACATGCACAACAACATCTATTGTTAACCCAACAGCAGAGACTTAAAAACTAATTTTAACTTTCACATCACACGTTTTGTAAAAGAACATTAGGTGAATACAACGCAATAAAGCAAAGCCCAGACACAGGATGAAGGCTTTTTTTATAATCCAAACATACCTCTCTTCGATTTCCGATATCTTTGCTTTCCATATCTCCTGATTTTTCACTAGATTCTCATTGAGCTTCAAGAAGAGAGGGCAAAAAAAGGTGATAATTAACAAACATAAGAAGTAAACAAAGCATTAGTACTTAGTATTGGAAATTTATCTCTGACAATGATACAGAGACAAAATTATATTTCCAATCATCCTAACTGAAGAGATCAGAAAAATACTATATAAGCCCAAATTGCACACCAGATACAGACTCACATCATCAAGAAACTTCTTCTCTTTTATACATCTATCCAGCTTGGCCTGCAACTTCTGCAGTTTTTGAGCAATAGCCTTCTTAACAGCTTCAGAAATTTCTCTTTCAGTTTCTTCTTTGACTTCTTCGAGCAAAGTATCAAAATACTATGAAAAGAAGATATATTACTCCAGAGTACTGAAAAAAGCCCCGCGTAAAGCATAATATGTAACAGACCAAAAGACACGGTCAAAGTAGACACAATGGCCACATCATAATGAAAATTCCGTTGAATCTCCAGTATAGGCTCAAAAAGATAGTTCATTCAATATGGAAATGCGGAAGAATGCACTTACAAGCTTTTGGTTCTCAAGCTGGGTGGCAAGGAGTTCATTGTACTCATTGACAATCTGTAATAAATTTAAATAAGATTATTTGAACAAAAAAGCGGGAAAAATTACAAGTATCTTTTCTAAGAATCATGGTACACATTACTGCTTCAACTTTGCTTTTCAAAAGAGCCTCGCTAACTCCAGAGTCTGCACACTCACAACCTCCACAACCATCGTAAGCATGCACACAGTGGGAATTCAACTCAACCAACTTCCCATCAGTTTTTGATTGAATCAGTCGGTGAACATAATTGTCTCCAACATAATCCCAAACACGCTGGGTGTCCAATTCAAGTGAATAACAGTGTTGTGTTTCTTTCCAATGTCGTATAGCATGTCCTCCTTTATACCTGCACCAGTTTTTCTTGTTCAAAGAATGCCAGACTGAAGGACACAGTGAAAAGAATAAAAAAACATAAATCACTCCAGACATAACAGGAAACTGAAATCGTTACCTGCCACAGCCAACAAAACCACATAAAACACAAATCCATAGATTCTCAGAAGTTTGACATACAAAACAAATTGATTTCTCAGGTTGTTGCTGGCAATATCGGCAAACCTGAAAGTGATATGTAAATAGCTGGTTAGCAAACTTCCAAGTATTTTTTCCTTCTAATTTCATTTGGAAAATTCATAAAAACCATAGCAACAATAATGAATGCAGAAGCAAATCCTAACAATAAAGAACTATAGCCACACAAGTCTACTGGCCAAGCAAGTTTAAACCCCCAATCTAAAGTTAGCATAAGCAAATGGCAGTAGAAAGCTATACGGAATGGGGAAAACAAATCTGCTTATGCATTTTCTATAGAATCCACTATATCATATTATTTACTAAAATCAGCTATCATATAATTAATTAAAATTACCAAATTCTTAGAAATAAAACTTATATTAGATGAATAAGAAGAAAAGGAAGATTATAGAAAATCAAATCAGCAAGGGACATAGAAACAAAAAGGCCGTGGATTAGAATTTTGGAGGAACCAATAAGACTGGAAAATTATGCAAGCCAAGCAGATAGCCATTGTAATTAGGATTTTAAGCTTCTGGAATCCAAATTTGCCAAAGTCTCAGCAAATGATGCATTTCTGTCAGTAAGTGATTTAAGACATTAGTGGCCAAAACTACTGCTTCAACCATAGCATTGCCTCAGAACAACAACAAAGATGCCAGGCAAGGCTCTTAGCATCAGTTGAACTTCTTGATTCAGTAGGCGGTGAGTGACCAAATGAAGTTTCAGCTAGACTATGATGAGCTCAGAAATCATCACATGATTATTTTTCATAATTATTAAAATTTAGCCCCAACTTTTACAACCCTTTATTTCTCATATTTTTCCAATCCATAAATTTGCATATAAAAAATGAATGACTGGTAACTTTCGCAACTGCCACCAAATACAATGCCAAAGGAATTAAAATATTTGTTTCCAGATCAAACATAGCATGATATTTTAAAATTTTGGATTATATCCAGTACCAGCTTGCCTCTTCAGTGACAACCCCCAAAAAAAAAAAAAAAGGAAATAAAAGTTTTAGGGTACTTGAATCATTGGTACTATGTTGCTGGTTTGCAAATTCTTCTATATTAAACTACAAAAGTATGGCAGGTGACAACTCATGCAAACAACAAATGCCAGTATGACAACATGTAATCTAATGATTTACAGTATACAATATACATGCAGCATATAAGGGTTTCAGAGCATGAAATCAAAACCTATGTTACTGATTAAACCATGAAATGATGATTGAATAATAAAACGATGTTATAAGACTCATCTGTAATTCATCTCTAAGAACTTGGAAACTATGACATGCTACAACACATAAAAAGGAAATATTTCAGGAAAAAAGCATTTACTCTGACAAATTACATTACATAAACAATATAGAAACCATGTAGGATTTGGAAGAACTTCTAGCCTAGGCATCAAGTATAGTCAGTGCATGCATGGATAGAGGAACAGCAAAAGACCTTAAATAAGTTGTTACGTGTCAAACTTAAATGTGCTTTCAGGCGTTAATTGTTGAAATACAATCCATGAGATATCTTGACACAAGGTATCCAAAAGAAAGTGGTTGATTTTCAAGTACTTTTGAGGTGCACTAAAAAAATCCAAAATACTTCCCAAATAGGAACAAGTTAGTTACTCTCAAGTCATAGGAATGAAAGGATTTGAACCCACCAAAGGTTTAAAGTATTTCCTAATCATTCTACTTTCAAACTGGCCACGGACCTTACACAAGCACAAGCAGCGCATAAATAAAGTGTACGAAAAATCAGCATCTGGAACTTTTAGCTTAGGGATCACCATAGTTAGTGCATTCACACAGAGGAGCACCAAATGACCTTACACATGTTTTTTCGTATCTAATAATGCTTTTGGCATTAATCGATCAACAATCAAGGGGATATCTTGACAAACTGTATCCAATAGAGAGTGGGTGATTTTCAAGTCCTTTTGAGTTCCACTAAAAAGACCCAAGAATACTTCACCAAATAAGAACAAGTTAGTTGCATCTCAATTCACAGAATTGAAAGGAATTGAATACTAAATGTTAAAATATCCTCATATCACTTTACTTTCAAACTGGGCCCCATAACTTGCACATGCACAAGCCGCACATAAATAAAGCGCAAGAAAAATCAGAATTACTCACCGGACAAGAAGAATCAGTCCATTTTGAAATGCAAGAGCAGTGGAAAGAATGATTACATATAGTTGTGAGAATTCCACCCATGTCTTGGTCTAGCCTCTCTGCATCATGAAGAATCAGTCCATCACCCACAACATATTTCAGTGTTGACAAATTTTTTTGACCCACACCATG